AGTAGCAGTAGCAGTAGCAATAGCAATAGCAATAGCAGTAGCAGTAGCAGTAGCAATAGCAGTAGCAGTAGCAATAGCAATAGCAATAGCAGTTAGACTTATATACCGCTTCATAGGGCTTTCAGCCCTCTCTAAGCGGTTTACAGAGTCAGCATATCGCCCGCACAGTCTGGGTCCTCATTTCACCCACCTCGGAAGGATGGAAGGCTGAGTCAACCTTGAGCCAGTGAGATTAGAACCGCTGAACTGCAGATAACAGTCAGCTGAAGTGGCCTGCAGTACTGCACCCTAACCACTGTGCCACCTCAGCTCATTATGCAGTACTGCAGGCCACTTCAGCTGACTGTTATCTGCAGTTCAGCGGTTCTAATCTCACTGGCTCAAGGTTGACTCAGCCTTCCATCCTTCCGAGGTGGGTGAAATGAGGACCCAGACTGTGCGGGCGATATGCTGACTCTGTAAACCGCTTAGAGAGGGCTGAAAGCCCTATGAAGCGGTATATAAATCTAACTGCTATTGCTATTGCTAACCAGGACTGCCAGGATTGCTGTTGCTATGCGAGGAGGTCCCGTGACATCACATTTTATGACTGCATAGTTTAGCAACAGCAGTCCTGGTCACTGGTTGCTGTTGAAACTGGTTGATGATGATAATGATGGTGATGTGTGAGTAATCTACAGTCTAAGACGGGAAGAAACTTAATAAGTCCTAACCAAGAAACTAAGAATTGTTAAAATTGCATTTAAAACTATAGGCAATTCCAAGCAGGATGGGTGGTTTTTTTTGTAAAGTTAGGTTATTCGGGTTCCATAGATTCAATATTGCCAGATATCAAGAAAGTCCTCTACTTATTGCTCTGAGGCTCCAATTACGATTGCTTTAACAATTCATTTCTTTTTCCATAAGTGTTCAACTTCAGTTTGTACGCCCCAATATTTCATATTTTTTCCAATTGTTTTTCTTCAGTTCCTCCCTATTTATGTTTTTACATAAATAACAGACAGCACAATACTGGAAAAACAAAGATATACTGGGAGACGAAGAGATAATCAGGAAGATACTAGATTGTGCAGAAATGGATAGATTGACATTGAAAATTAAACAGAAAGAAGATGTAAAATATTATCAAACATGGAATCTATTTTAACCATGGTTGGAAAAAAGGGGTGGAGATTAAAAATGTAAATTTGTATTGTTAAGCAAATTAAATACCCAGTCAACACGATGTTTATTAAACACTAAGAAATGTATTCCATAGAAAATCAATTTAAAAAATAATAACAAACAGCAGCATTTGTGTGAACAGCTTTTTATTCAGTTATATCTATGTAACCAGCAACACATTTATTTGCTTACAGTACATGTACATTAAGAATCTCTCCTGATAAAGCATTTTCTTGTTTCCTTTTACTATACTTGGACTGAGAAAAGGTACCATTTCCTTGATTTCTGCTTTATGCTGCTGTTAGAAGAATAACAAGTCATAAGTGACAGTTTGATCTTTTCTAAAATATGTTTTGAAGCCTGCTAACATACCCAAATGCAGAGGCTTTCATTAATTGGTAGGGATCCACCAAACAGAATGATACCGTAGTAACATTATCTCCTAGAAGAATAAAATGAAAACTTTGGCCCTATATTTATGGATTTAAGGCACAATGGTTGTTTATAAGACTAATGCTGCATTGCTGAAATTAAGATAATAGATACTGCTAGCAAGTTGCTTTAGATGATATGCGCTGCAATCATAGTTTACTCCCCTGATTCACTCATCTCGCTTGAAAATATATTGCTGGTCTTCATTGTAGTACCTGAAGCCTAAACACTTATCTGAACACAATTGTTCTCTGTCTTGTTTTCGTGTATATTTAGACTTGGTTAGCATCTGACTGCCCATCTCTTAGAATTATTTCTGTGGAATATGATACCCATCTTAGTGACTGGAGAACCAAATGTCCCGTAGAGAGCTACAGGTAAGGAATAGGAGTAGAAACCTGAAACTGTTATGTTTTTGTACACATCATCTTGTAGATTTTAGATGTGAATATAATGCTTATATATTAACATTGTTACATTAATATTTAATACTAATGTTACATTTATGTATTTTATTGCATTGTGAGCAGTCTAAATTCATACCTGTATTTGATTAAGATAACAGATTGATCTTATTATATAAACTCTTAAAGAGCCCTGTCAGGATTGAGCAAGATCAAAACCAATTTCGTTGTATACATGATGTACATGTATACTAAGATCAGTCTTAAAATATTTAGGTGGATTCATTCATTGCATTAATCCATGTTTTGTTTAACAATTGAAATTGAATACACTTTGGCAGAATTGCTATAATCTTGTCAAACACTTTTCAATATACTCCTAATGCAACCACATACATAGATAGTGGTTGCTCCCTGAAGAATATGTAGGGAGACTTGATATTCCCAAAACAGTGATTTTTTTTTGTCCCAGATAATGTGATTATGTGCTGTAAAAATTGCTTCTTCAATTCCCCCATAAGGAGACTTGGATAATACTGTAGCTGCTGACTTAATGCAGTATTTGGAATAGTGATTCTGTGATATTCATATTAATCTAAAGGGATATTAAATAGCTGATTAATAACAAGAGATGTTAAATAAGTACTTTGAATACTTATTTAAAGTATTAAGTAATGCATTAATTTCCATGTTTGTTTCATGACTTTTAAATATTTTTTTTACATATCAGTCAAAATCTTTTGTGCATACCAGAAAACATGTTGTAAGATTCTGTATATATTCTGTATGTTTATGTGAAATACAGCATATTGATTTGATTATCTGGATGATAACCATTATTTTAAGCAAGATTTGATTTAAAGCAAATATTGTACAGCCAGAATCTGCAGGATCATAGAATCTAAGGTTTTTTTAAAAAAATATTATTGCATCAGATCTTGGCATTCCACCTGAAATCTCACTAATCATGCTTAAAAAACCTGATGAGATTTAGTGATTCCATAGTAATTGTTTATGTTTTTAATTAAATTAGAGTCTCATGAAATCTGTTTGAAAGGTCAACTGTTTTGTAGTGCTAACAAGCACTGAGTTTTGACACCTGTTTTTTGTGGTGATCTTCTAACCTTGGTAAGTTTAAGATTTGTGGACTTCAGCTCCCAGAATTCCCAGATAGCCTGGCCATTGGAAACTATTTTAGCACTTGAAGATCACTGTCTTAAAATTGCCAAGGTTGGGGGACACTGTTCTTAAAGCTTTTAGTAATAGGGGATGTTGATTTACTTATAAGAGAAGTTTCAGAATTGCTGCCCTAAAACATGCCAACATTTTCAGTAGGATGCTAGGGGGTGGGGGGATAACCTTTATGGAGACAAGCTGAGTTTAAGGAAATGAGAGTAAAGCTGCCAAGAAATAACCTGATTCTTCAGAATATGCTGTCTTATTATACCTGCCTCTCTTGTTTTCTTTGCTGTCTCATCTGCAGAGAATCTCTTGCGTATCGAAGTACTGAGCTTCTCAAGAAACTAAGAGCTGCTGGGATTGGAGACAGGCCTCTCATATGGCTGTCACATAGCATGGGCGGTAAATTCATTGTCTTCTGTATCAACTTTAAAACAAACCTTTTCAAGCTTGTTAACTCTGTAAATATAGTACCTTGCTTCCATTCGAAGGCAATGTTCATAGGATTCATTTGAGCCACATAGAAAGCAATCCCCATGTGGATTTACAATAATAGTACTGCATATGTGTTTAGATGTGGTGTGTTTTCAGTCACTAGTGAATGTTTAAAGTGCTCTTTGTGGATTTCCAGTAGCTCTCTACTGAAAATTCTGATTTTTAGCTACCAAACTTGTCAGAAAACAGTCTTAAACCTTACATGGATGAATAGTTACCGACTTTCTTCCCCACTAATACTATGGAGTGTTAATATCTGCCTCTTTAGCGTGTATGTATTCAAACTGTAATGAGCCCAACTTCCTTTAATTTTTGGCACTCTTTTATTTCCTAACTGCACTGCTAACACAACCTAGACCCTTCATGTGTTCCAATACACCTTGTTGGTAGATTTCCTTTTCAAGCATGACAGGATGGGTAAGCATCTCTTTGAATACTCATCCCCTCTCAGCCCTTTCTTATAGTTTCCAAAGTGTCTGCTGAAATATTGTGGGGCCTGGGGGCATAATGAAAGCATCGATGAATTACATTTATGTGTCCTTAGAGCATCATGTTTAGCCAGAAAACAATATCTAGAAACTAAGCTTACCTTGACCATTTAATAAACCGATGAATACATAGTAATTTGGTTACCTCTCTATAACCTCTTGCTTGTTCCCACATCCATTCCATTGGAAACTGAGGCAACTTTTAGTAATGGCTTTTCCCCTATAGTTGTTTCAGTGTATTTGTTTGTAGTTTTCTGAGTACTGACATTTCAAGTGCTGGGCCTTGGCTCTTTCCTTTGGCACAGGAGGCAATCCACCATATATCTGTCAAAACATGAGACCAGCAAACCCTTGTTCATCAATAACCCACCACCTCTTAAAAATGAATGGAGAAGCTAAGATTTCACATGCACTGACTTGGAATAGTTCTATCTAAAAATGTCATATTAACTCCACAGTGCCAATGGGCTTTCTAGATGTGACTTAAAGTGCCTCCATCCCCTCAGTCTGTTTCTGCATTTTCACAGCTGTTTGTCTGAAAGCCAAGCAGGAAGATTCATGAAGGATTTGGAAAAGAAAGTTATATTATTTTTTAATGTGATTGCTTTTACGTTGTCTACCAGGAGGCACAGTGTGACCCATTTCATCTTACTGGGGCATCAGATTTTATTCTGTAGCCTTCAAAACCCTCTACAAGTAATTGAACTCTTTGACTGTTGCACTTTAGAAGATTATAAACAGCGCATTCGGCTTTCAAGCTATCCTAAAATATTAAGATCCTAGTTCCTGGCATTCAGCAGTTTACAGGAAAGGATATATAGAAGCTGTCACAATTGTACACACAATTGTACATAGAGTCCATCTTCCCTTAAGATATGCATTATTATGTTGTGTGCCAGAGATACTATGTTCTGTCAACTTTGCATGGCACAGGATCTGGTTATTTGCAGGACCACTTCTCCTTAAAAATATCCACCCATTCCATTAAATCAGATAGGGCACGCACACTCCGTGTCCCCCCCCCCTTGAAATCTTGCCATCTTGTGGGACCTCAGAAACATGCCTTTGCCATGGCTGCCCCTACCCTGTGGAATGCCCTCCTGCCGGTGTTTTACCACAGGCCCTCCATCCTTCTAGCCTTTTAGAAAGCTTTTAAGATTTGGCTTATTTGTTTGCTAAGGCTCATCTGTTGTCTGTCTGTCTGCCTATTAGTCATGTTTCCACACTTCCCATCTCCTTCAAGGATCTCCCATTTTACTGAGGTGCTGGGATTGTATAATAGGCATGAAAGAAGGATAGTTGAACCTGCTTTGGGAAACATTTAGGTTGCAGATTTTTTGTTTTACAGTTTTTATTGTTTTTATGATTGTTTTATTTATTAGCTTTATAGTTGCTGTGAGCTGCCCAGAATTGCTTAAGATGGGTGGCCATATAAGGCTTCTAAATAACTGTACCGTTTGCATATAACCAGACTGGGCTAATGGCCAACTTGGTATCTCTTGTCCTGGGTAGAGGTGGTTTAGGGCTTGTAGAAAGAGGCCCTGCTTTTCCAGAGGAGGGAAGTTGGACTGAGCCTCCTTTTCTGTAAAGAAAGAAAGCCAGAACGTCTTCAAGGAGTTGTGGGAGAGTGATTTTCTGTTTTCTGTATCTCTCTAATAAGTACATCACAGCCCTGCATTGATCCCTTTTCATGGAGGCTTTTCTTTTCAGGCCTTTTAGTCAAGAAAATGCTGCTGGATGCTTCCATGGACCCTGAAATGGCTCCCATAGTGGACAGCACACAGGGAATTGTGTTTTATAGTGTTCCTCACCATGGCTCCCGGTTAGCTGAATATTCTGTAAATATTCGATTTCTGCTCTTCCCTTCTGTGGGAGTCAAAGAGCTCAGCAAAGGTTTGTTTCTTTGGGGGGTAGTTCTGGAAAGTATATATTTAAAACATAGCTTTCTTTTCTATAGCTGTCTTCCTCCCTCCCCCCCCTCTCTGTATAAATATTAACAATAAAACCAAATTATTTACACTAATCAAAGTAACACTGAGGTTCATTTTTATTTATTCCTTTGATGGAGCTTAATGGAAATGTGGTTTTCTAGGCAATATTTTTGGAAGTGGTTTGCCATTTTGGCTTCTTCCTAGGAATGAGAAGGAATGAACTTAAGATCACCAAGCTGGCTTTTGTGCCTAAGCTAGGACAGAGCTCAGCTTTTCCTGTTTTCAGTCCAGCATCTTTATTAGTAGAATAAATTCTTTAAGCTTTATTAAGGTGATCCAAAAGCATTCAGGACAGATTTGTGTCAACAAGTGAGGGGAAGGAGCTTCAGCGAGAAATGAAAACCCTTCTATCCTGACCTTAGCTAGGTAGTCTTCTGGGACGATGAAACATAGCATGACCATTCTGTCAACAGCCTTGGTGATGGCAGATTTATACAGAAGAAAGTGTTCTTTCTGATATCCTTCACTCAAAAATAAATAGGAAGTTGGTTCAGCTATCCCAATAAAGTGGTTGCATGATGACAGTGCCCAAAGTCTTGTAACATAGATGCGATGTAACAGCGATTTGTGTAATATGAAGCATGTTTCACATGGTTAGACGTATAAGAAAGGCAGGGGTGAGTGCATGAATACCAGTTTATGTGGAACTAGTTAGAGATTAGGCCTCAGAAGACTCCAAATTATGAAACTGTATTTTCAACTCTATCCAGCACTGCTTGGGTTTTAATGCAAGAGCCAGAAGTACTTTAGTCTCAATTAATTTAACCTCTTTACCCATTCAGCCTCCAGCCACCATTCAGAACCTCTACAGTATTCCTCTAGAAAGAGGGAGGTAGAGTTGGATGACATCCATGTTCTGATTCCATTAAATATAAATAAGGCTAGCATAAAGGCATCTGACAGAGTCCCATGGCATCACTTTGAGGACCTGCCAGTTCAGATTTGAGGCATCCCAATATTTGCTCCCAGACCGTATCAGGAACTGTGTGAAACCAATATTAAATAGGAACTCAAAAAGGAATTCTAGTTATGTTCAGATGTATCTTCAATTCAAACTCAGCTAAAGTCTAATCATTTCATAACACCTTGCCTGTTATTTATTTATTAAATTTAAATTGAAGGCAACTCTGGGCAGCTGTGGTTCTGCATCACCTGCCCACCTACACCAATTTATTGTGTACTGGAAGTTCTGTCCTTGAGCTCCTTCGCCTACTTCCCTTTCCTTGTATTCCTGGATAGAAAAAGAACTCTTAGAATTTGAGATAGATAGATCTTTTGTGCATGAGCCACTTTGTTTATTTTCAATAGGAAGCTAGCAACACATAGAAATACTTACAACCATTCGGACTAGAATTTCCATTGCTAAGCGAGGAGATTGTTAAGTGAGTCATGCAACATTTTACAACCTTTTTGCCGCAGTTGTTAAACAAATTACTGCATTTGTTAAGTGAATCATGCAGTTGTTAAGTGAATCAGGCTTCCCAGATTGGGAGATTGCAAATGGCAGCCACGTGACCTTGGGATGCTGCAACCATCTTAATACAAGTCAGTTGCCAAGCATCCATGTTTTGATCATGTGACTGTGAGAATGCTGCAAAGGTTGTAAGTGCAAGGACTGGTTGTAAGTCAGTGCCATTGCAATGAATATTTTCAGTCAAGGGTTACATGTACTTCATCAGAACAAATAGAGGCTGGGATACCATCTAGCCTTGCTTGCATATACCAGAATGGCACTTGGACTTTAAAATCTATGCTTGACAGGCAGATGCCACTTTTCTGAACTGAAATCTATCCTCCAGATGAAAAATATTATGGGTAAATGTAGACCTCCACCTGAAACGCAGTGTCTAAAATAAGAAAGCCACATTTCATTTTTATGCATTTTTCCAGATTCGCCTGCCCTGAAAGCACTGAATGATGACTTCATCTCTTTTGCCAAGAATCAGAACTTTCCAGTATTAAGCTTTGCAGAAACTTTGCCAACACGAGTTGGCAGAATGCTGAGTCTGCATGTCGTGCCAGTGGAATCTGCAGGTTTGACAATCCCAGCGTTCCCCTTTGGAAATGTCTGTCTTCAGTCATTTGTAGCAGTGTTTATTTACCTCAGCAACTTAAAGGCTGTGGACTTCAACTCCCAGAATCCTGCAGCCAGCATGGCTGATTGCAGGATTCTGGGAGCTGAACTCCATACATCTTAAAAGAAGATCAAATTAGACATCTTAATGAAAATTAAATTAGTTAATGGGGGGGGGATCAAAAAAATTAATGATTGTTTTCCAGTTGAGGAACACTGGATCAACCATCCTCAGGTCCCAAGGTAATTTGCTAACTCACTTTTTTTTAACATGCTCAGCTACATTTTAATTAATGCCACATTAATTTTTGAACATTTTCATTAGGACAGTTTCTGTAATATCAAACAAAATGTAGTTCTTTAGAAACAACTAGGAATAGGAGGGTTGGATTCGCTCACAATTTGAAGTTATTGCTCCTGGCTTTTCTATGTTGTGGGGATTTTTATATTATACAGGTAGTCCTCGACTTAAGTCAAAATTGAGACCCAACATTTCTGTTGCTCAGCGAGACAGTTGTTAAGGGAATTTTGCCTGTTTTACAACCTTCTTGTCACCGCTGTTAACTGAATCATTGAAGTTGTTAAATTGGTATGGTTGTTAAGTGAACCTGGCTACCCCATTGGCTCTGCTTGTTGGAATGTCACAAGAGGTGATTACTCAGCCTGGAATACTGCAACTTCATGAGCCAGTTGCCAACCGTCTGAATTTTGAACATGTAACCATGAGGATGCTGCAAAGGTTGTAAGTGTGAAAAACTGCCATAATTCACTTTTTTCAGTGCCATTGTAACTTTGAATATTAAACCGCAAAGCCGCAGTGGTTAGAGTGCAGTACTGCAGGCTACTTCTGCTGCCTGCCGGCTGCCTGAAATTTGGCAGTTCAAATCTCACCAGGCTCAAGATTGACTCAGCCTTCCATCCTCCCGAGGTTGATGAAAGGAGGACCCAGATTGTTGGGGGCAATATGCTGACTCTGTAAACTGCTTAGACCATAAAGCAGTCTAAGTGCTATTGCTATTGCTATTAAACAAATGGTTGTAAGTTTAGGATTACCTATACTTTGTTGTGTAATTGTATGTTTGTTTGGCTTGAAAACAAGGTGCAGTTTTTCTTTTAATATGCTTTGTGTAGAAAGGGTGTAAAAAGTTATTTCAAACCAGTGCACATATTCCCCAAACAGTTAAGACGTAAATTATGTATGATATCCTGTGAAAAAACATATGGATTACTGCAACAGAAATAAATTTTCAGGTCTACTCCAACCTTGTTTTATATACCAATCTAGAATTTGGTTCAAGCATCATCTTTTAATTCTTTATTGATTCCGATGTGGAGACAGATCAGACAGGCAGGCTACTTTCTTGCCTAGAGACCTTCAAAAGTAGGCGGTGGGGAGTCCCTTGAATGTAAATAGGGAATGTGTTTCTTTTCTGTGATATTAATGCTCTTTGCTTTCATGTCTGTTTCAGATTTGGGCATTGGAGAACTCATTCAGGTAGAAGTTAGCCACCTCAACATTTGCAAACCCAAGAACAAAGAATCTTTCCTATATCAACAAACCTTAAAGTTTATTCAAGAGTCTCTAAAAAGGCAGCTGGGAAATCACTGAATGGCAGCACCGTGCATATTTGTTCTTTTACTGGAGCAGTTATGCTAACTTTTCTTTGAATCTAGGCCTGTCCTTGGCAGGGCGGCTGTTTTATTACACTCAAGCTGGTATTTTTTTAAAAACATTGCCAAGTGGGAAACTGTGGGTGTATTTCTGGTGTTGTATATTGTACAAAGCGTTTTTGTTCATTTTGAGTTCCATTTAATGCTTGACAAGGAAACAGTTATCTGGGCTCCTAGAAGGTTTTTTCACTGTTTTGTAAGCATGTGTTTTATCTAGAGATCTTCGTTTTCTGCTCAATATAGAAACGAAGCTACTATGCCATTAATGATTATCCTATACTACTTTATTCAGTCACTGACACTAGATGGATGGGAGCACTTGACCTTTTATGTACTGTGCATACTGGAGAGAAAATGCACTAATGCCATAAATCTACTCTCCCGTGCTGATGTACTTATGCACCCATATTGCATGATATCAATTTGTTTACAGACATTCTGATATTTTAAATATAGTAGAAAATATGTGTAATAACAAATGAATTTGGACCCTAACCTGTGTTTTTGCAGCTGGATGCCAACTGAAAAGAAGGGTATACTGTAAATCTGCTATCATACAGTGTTTGGAAAGCTGTTATAAGCCCAGAACTGTTTACTCCAAAGAACTGAAGCAGTTTCTTAATTCTATGACGACAGATTTTCCTGTGGTCATCTTATACCAATATGCCGCACGAAGTAACAAAAGATTCAGAATTGTTGCTTGATTTTGCATAAAAGGCTGGATTAGTCAAGGGGGCACTTGAGATGAATCCCAATTATGTCTTTACTACTTAAATTTTTGTAAAACTCAGAAGATAAAATTCAGTCTCAATGTAATCTGAGTCGCCTGCCAAATACATATTTTGCAATATTGAAAATGCAAAACACTCCAGGTAGAAATCCTTCCCTTTGGCTGGTGCCATTTATGTATTTTGAATCTTAAGTTAATATAATGTATAAAGCAGTTGTTCAGTTTCAGCATGAAGCCAAACCATGGCTTGATTTTTCATGTAAATGAAAAAAATATTCCTAAAGATTGTCCTGTTTTTATGTTCCATTTACTTAAAATCCCAGTGGTAAAACAACTGCCATAATTGTGAGTTGGAAGCCACCACTGATATTGTCAGATGTTTCAAACCATAGTGTGGAGTTATAGAGAACCTTGTAAACTTTATCTATGATTTAGAATGATAAATTAAGCCACTATGTTTGTAGCAAAGCAGATTCCTATTGTAGACAAAGGGGAAATGATTATCCATATCAATTGGCTGCATTTCCTTGTGTCAAAAAAATATTTCTAACTGTCAGAGCCATCTGAAGTATACATTCCCATTTCCACCCACCCCAAACAACATGTAATTTACCTACTGTAATATTTTGTGTGTGTACTAAATAATATTTTGTATATACTTTTTCAGGCAACTCTTGATTTTTTTTACTACTGCAGCTGATTAAAAAAGGACATGTCGTAAACATAAAAATACTTGATCATTACATTGCTATGTAGTTATAACATTACACATTTAGAAAAAAACCCCACCATAAATTATTCTTCCAGAATAAAAACTTTCCAACAATTTACCTATCACTAGGCAATTTATATGTAATGAAGTAAACAATATGTGAATTATTTATGATGTCAAATGTATGAATACTGTTGTGTCTAAATGGATACATGAGTCAATAGCATCATGAAGCTACTGGTGTTGAATGGATTAATTTATGACTATGATTTGGTCTTGAAGTAACTGAAATTCAGCTTTGCTTTCCTGAAATTGCCTGTGACTTTCTAAATACTTATTTAAACAGTTCTTTTTTATTAAACATTTTCAAAAGTTTATATTTTATTCACTAGAAAAAAAAATTTTAAAAACTGCTCAGGACAACTTTTATTTATTGCAACATTTGCCCCGTTCCATTTTTGCTCAGGGCGAGTGGGATAAATTGCAATCGATGGCAGAGTATATGTTACTAGAAAGATTCAAGTTTTAATGAGGCATCTCACTAGGCAGAAAGTTTACAATATAGTGCCAACAGCCGGATACCACTTCAAGTAGAGTAATAAAAATTACTTTCATTTGCAATTTATAAAGTCACTTCAATTGACTTGCTTTCTAATGCTTTTATTAGCATGTAAATGACCTGCCACAAAGCTGATAAATTATCCATGTTGCAGAGAAAATCGTCAGTAACAGTATACTAGCCTTCCCTTTAATAGGTGTTCATTTTTCATCTTAAGATGCAGCTATAAATAACCAGTGATGCTTCTGGTTTCCTTATTAAAGGGGAGGGTTAGAGCAATCTTCCCTAACCAGCTGTCCTATGCCAAGGGCAACAACCTTACAGGGAGATCATGAGTTACAGGCAACCCATCTAGAGAGTACAAAATTATGTCTTCTAGTAAGCAAATGTCACTGCTACATATTCTCCTTTTCATTGATTCAGTTTTTGAAATATTGCTTACAGCGGTATAATGTTTAGCCTACATGCAGGAGAATGGAGACCACAATAACCTACCTGATTTAGCACTCCCAACTGTATTTTCTTAAGGTTCATTTAATAAAAAACAATAGCAACATGTTAACTAATTAACCTTTAGCCTCGCACAGTATATATAGGAATAGACCAAGGCTAGTTTCTCATAAACCACATTTTTAAAATTAACAGAATAAAAAAAGGCCAAAATACATACTGCATCCCCCCTCCACCAAAATAAAAAAGAAATCATTAACTTCGCTGCTGCTTCTAAAGCAACATTAATCTTTATTAAATTACAAATCAGATCCTAGATTTTAATTTCTGGCCTGAACTGTAAGGCTAGATCATTGTATCTTTTACGATGTAAAACGATTGTGCACAAAAATATTAAGCTTTTCTGTGCCCAAGCTGATTAGTGTTTTTTCCCAATGACCCACTGAACATTTTATTAGCCTTGAGATGCTCTCAAAAAATACTTGAGATTTAAATATTAAAAATGAGAATAGAAGCCTCATATATATGTACCTGTGTATTTCCTACCTATATCATATATGGGTAGTTTCTTCCATAGGTAATACACTCTTATTCATATTAATCCAGACAGAATCATATCTATGTTAGAGGTGGGCTGCCAGGGGTTTGCAAGGGTTTGGGAGAACCTCTAGCTAAGATTCTGTGCAGTTCAGAGAACCTCCATATTCCACTCCTGGCTGGCCCCGCCCTCCCCACCCTTCTCAGGAGTCCCCACATGGCCTGTTTTGGATGCAGGTAAGTGCAGGGCATGCTGGAGGCTCAGGGAGGGCAAAAAATAGGCCTACCAGAAGTTCAGAAAGGCCAGAAACAGGCCCGTTTCCACCCTCCAGAGAGTTTCTGGAGCCTGGGGAGCCATTTTTGCCCTCCTGGAGGCTCAAAAAAATCCTCCAGAACCTGGGGAGGGCAAAAATGCACCCCTCGGTGCAGGAGGGCAACTAAGCCACGCCTAACATGGCCACGCCCACCCAGCAACTGGGCAGAGAACCCCTGGCTAAAATTTCTGAAGCCCACCCGTCTCTGTATATAATAGAAAATTAATGGTTTATCCTATGAGGTGATCTGTAAGGGAATTTCTCCATAGTGAGGGTTGACCTTGTCCCCTCTTGATTGGACTGAGTCAGATAAGCTCTTTTAGCCACGCCTTTGTCACCAGGCTCCACCCAGTTATTGACGGCTGTGTTCATCCTGAGATCCTGAAGAAACATAAAGGAAAAATTTAAATTGCTGCAAAAGCGAACAAAATTGCCTCCACGCTGCCTGATCAATCACTAAAGGCTGAGGAAACCCCCAGCGGGGGTAGAAAGCCCACGCAGCAACTGCTAAAGCGGCACGCAGCCCAGGTCACAGAGCAAGACCCAGGGCACTAAGTGAGGACTTTCACCAAAGACAGGCAAGCGAGCTCCTCAGAGGACTCTGCAGCAAGGGCAATGCCAAAGGAGGCTCTAAGGGCGCCGGAGCGCTCAGCCACTCCCCTCAGGTTGAGCGACGAATTGCGGCATTTTAAAATGCCCGGAGCGCCCATGCTGGCAGCGATCGCCAGAGGAACGAGGTGAGAGCCGGAGAGGCTCAGAAAGAGCTGGGAGAGGCAGGGGGAGGCGCGAGAGCACCCAGCGGCAGCGGAAGCCGTGCGGCAGCCTGCAAAAGCACAAGCCACTTCCACGAGCCTTTTTAATTTGGAGCTGGGAGCCATTTTGAAATCATGTGGTCCAAGATGGCGGCTCCCAGCAGCTCAGAGGATGCCAGCAGGAGCCAAGCACTCAGCCCTGCAGCCAGCAACCCCACCAGAAGCACTGAGGAGCCCTTATAAAGGTTAGAAACCCTCTCGGAGGTTTCAGTCAAGGGGGGGGGGGGAAGCAAGGCAAAGGCCAAAAAGGAAGCATATCTCCACTAAGGGGGCTAACGTGGCGGGCTATGGATCCAAACCCCCCAAGCCTAGCTCAAAGTATGAAAGGCAGAGGCACCAAGCCTTGGAGCGCATCTGCCACAAGGTCAGGAGCAGGAAGACCCCGCCTGGCCCGGAACCTGAGGGAAGATTACCAGGTTTCTCTTCACCTGGCAGGGCTGCAGAAGGGGACCCTTCCTTCCAGGTGAGGATTCCCTTCGACACCTCGGGCTTTGTCATCCTGTGTTCCGGCAACCTTGTTATCACGATTTATGCAAGCCCTATTCAATCCTTTTCTGAATGCCTGACTAGCCGGAGAAGCCCAGACAAGGCAATGAGGCTCAGATCACTGCTGAGGCTCCCCCTTTAAAGAAGGTCTTCCCTTTAAGGAAAAACTGCCCCTTTAAGGAAGAGAAAGGAAAGCAGCTGGAGGAGGGAGCGGCAAGGCTCTCAGTGAGCTGCTGTTAACAGCGGGAGGCCACAGGAGAGAGTGTGGCAGCTTTTAGTAGCACAAGCTGCTTTTTCAAAGCCCTGACCCTGCCGTTGTATTTGCAGCGCAGCCCCATTTGAAAGGAAGGGGGAGGAGAGTCCCCACATGGCCCAAGATGGCAGCCTCCTGCAGCTCGGAGGACACAGGCAGGAATCAAGTCCTCGCTTCTAAAGCTGGCAGCCCCACTGGTCCATCCAAGAGTGGGGGCAACAAGGCAAAGAGCAAAATGAAGCACACCACCCCCAGGGCGGCTAAAGGGGCAAGCTCCGGCTCCAAGCCTCCCAAACCTGCCTCTAACTATGAAAGGCAGAGGTATAAAGCCCTAGGACACATCTGCCATAAGGCCAACAGCAAGAAGGCTCCCCCTGGTCTGGAACCTGATGCGATCACAGAGGAGGATCCCTCCCAGCAAGTGAGGATTCCCATTGATACCTCAGGCATCTGGGGCTCTATCCAGGGATGGCAGTCTCCCTCGCTATGGGGCATTCTCCTCAAGTCTCCCTTCTACCTCTACAGGCATGGGGGTGGGGCAACCACCCCAGGCAGAACAGTATAAAGATGAGGTTATTTTGAGCTCCCCTCGAGTAAAAAGGACATTGAAGTTGAATCCCAAACTCTGTTTGCAGTCTAACTGAAATCAGCTGCTGGGATTTCCCCCACCCCCTCCTGGAGCAAAAAGGAACATCCCGTTTCACTGAGAAAGGCTGATTATCTCTCCTGAGATGAAGGACTCAGTTATGGTTAAGAAAATGTGTCAAAAAGGGGCCAAGAGTTGCATGAGAAATGCAGCGTCTACCACCTAGCTGATTCAATCTGCTCTGAAAAGTCTGTTTTTGTTCTTCTCTGATACATTGAGAAAGCAGATCCTGCAAAGTTAGAAAAGCATGTTTCCTCTCTCTCCTTGTCTGAAAGCAAGATCGACCTTGTTTCCATCTAATTGAGCTCCAGGGAAAGGGATCCAGGAATCGTATGATAAAGCAACCCCACCCTTTCCCAATCTATGTAATCTGATCTGCTGTTGTTAAGGCCAAACACATGTGGCCTAACAAAGAAAGAGAAATCTGATGCAGATTTCAAGCCTTACTCCTTAAGTGTTTGCAAAAGCCTCGTGGAAAGATCTCCATGGAAACGAAACCTGAATGAGAAAGAGGTCAGCTAGCCCAGACCCGACCTCCCAAATCCTTTGAACTTTAATGATGTTGTCCTGAGAACGAGGGGCAATAAAGACGCCCCAACCATTCCGAAGGAGCCACGTCGCAATGTCACAACATGTGGTCTTGATATTCCGAGACCGCCGTTGACACTTTTACCGCTGGATGGTCTATTGAGACCTAAACCGTCTCGTAGAGATGGTGATCAGGAAGACAAAGCCTTTCTGATTTCAAGGACATCGCAAAGTCCCTGATCGACCCAAGGGAAGCCCTTCAAGCCGTCGGTTAACAGGCAGCCCCCAGGCTGATAAAATCAGGACGCTCCGGAAGGAAGGAAGTGAAAAGAGAAAGGGAGTCCATCTGGTGAGGTATTTTTTCTATTTTGCTAAAGACTGCCCAAAGAAAATTTTAAAGCCAAATTAGATCCTTAAGCAAAAGAACTGAGTGGCGAAACTAACCCTAATTGGATTGCTGTGGAAAGCTTTTCTTCCCTTTGTAACTATTCTTTGTGGATTGAAGTGCTCACAACGTTTCTCATTTCTCCTCTTAAAGTGAACAGATTGATTTTTTTCTTCTGCTGTTTGTTGCTTTATTTTTTGACTTCTGGATTAAAACCTTATTTTTAACAATTCTTCCTATTACTTGTTATTAAAT